ACAAGCTCGCTCTTGGTCGTTTGGATTTCATTCTTCCCCCCACTCAGTTTTGTTTGTTAATTTTACAGTTCTGGACATGGAAAACATTAGCAAGTGCCCTAAAGTTCAAGACTATATGGAAAGGAATACCCTGAAAATAGTGATATTTTGAGGAATTGATTTTGTTTATTTGTGCTTTGAATTTTCTTCGAATCACTGCTAGGAATACCCGGCTCCAACAGGATTTGCTGGGCTTCCCACGGCCATAAACTCCCCACCTTCCCTAAACTCTGCTTGACCTATACTTGCATTTCTTCATTCTCCAAACTCTACCCTGTACTTTTCTTTTCTTCATTTCCCAAACTCTACCCTATACTTGCATTTCTTCATTTCCCAAACAAGCAAATGAGCCGAGCTTCCACCGGAAGTGTGCCAGAGCCGGAGACTTCCTTGAGCATGAGAGGCGGGGAGGGGGCTGAGGTCAGACCTTGCTTCTGCTGCTTTCACAGCTGTATGTATTAGAAAAGGCACCTGCTGCGTGGTAACATCCCAGGGGATGACAAGACCTTTGACACAGACTCGCGCCTTGCCATTCCATGTGAGCGCCCTCACTTACCCATGCCTGGCATGCTGCCGCTGCCGCCGGCCTTTCTGGGTCAGTGTTTGTACAGTACTGATTATGGTGGATTTTGGCAATAAAGCCACCTCCTGAGTGAGACCTATGGGAACCAGCTTCTCTATGGGTGGAGAAGGACGTCGGCAAGACGGCCACACCCTGTGTGTGGAATTGTAAAAGGGCCGGTGAGGCACACTGGGAAAAGCCCAGGTGGGAACAAGTGCTGGGTGGTTCCTTAGACAGACATGAAACCTAATTAGAGGCTATTCTGTCTAAGACCTTGCCTCTAGTGCGTACCCAGGGTGTATGCCAGCCCCGAAACCCGGTTAAGCAGTGCATTGTTCCCTGGGTTCTGAAGTGATGGCTGCACTCTGCAGGCTATAAAAAGACAATCGGAGGGAGAGCCTGCCAGCATCTCTCCAGCTCTATTGGGAACACCGGGAGAGGACCCCTCTGGCTCGTAAATTAACAAACGGCCTTCTGGTTTACACACCAGTGGCTCATTGTGAGTTGGTCCCCTGGCCTCAGTGACCCCACCTGGTCTTCAGGAAAGCCTGGCTGTGAGAGCTGCAAGACTGAGCCCCATCTTGAAAGCTGCTTCCCTGTGAAGGCATCTCTCTTCAGGACTGTGAGTATGTGATGTGGGTGGATACCTCCCTGCCCTTTCCTTACTATTTAGGATCTTTTTTGGTGAAGTTACAGAGGTCAAGCCCATAGCCAAGCACTGTTTTTCACTGGTCCTCACACCTAGCCTAGGTGGTGTGGAAAAAACTTCCTGGGTTCCCGTTGGCGAGTACGGAACTGGAATTCAACCTCCACCGGATTGAACACAGTGTCTGTACTGCTGGCCTCTCCACAGCAAGGACTTTGACAGGAAATCCCACTTGCAATGCAGCAGGCATTCTTTCCCTGCAAGCACCATCGACAGGAAAATGT